TTGGGCCTAAGGGCCTAAGTCTTTTATATTCTAGATTGTGTGTTGTTTGGTGCTCGTCAGGAGGTGCATGTTAGCCTAGTTTAGGTTTAGGGGGCCTACTCGCTGAGATTTATTCTCACTGTTGTATAAACCAAAATTTTCAGACCCCCGGCCTTGAGATGTCCGCAATACCGATTCGTTTTGGGATCCCTTACCGGATAGATTGGGAGGAAACAGAGTACCCCGCAGGGAATGGGGATACATATGTTAGATATTTGATTACAGTTTGGGTTGATGCGGGCGAGCAGCTGAACCAGGCCCACATGTACATAGGGTGGTGTATCAGGGACCTTACCGTGACTTACGGGCCCCTTCGATCTTTTGAGGTCCCGTATAACGAGTCGGGAGATGTCGACCCTCAGTGTCCCGATGGGGACTTGGTGAGTCCTGACCGTGCGCCCGAGGGGAGCTCTAGTGCGGACTTAGGGCATGAGCCGGATGTTTGGGAGATGGACGAACCAGAGCATATGGAGGAGGAGCCGGAGGATGGGCACTCAAACTCGGAGCCGATGGATTCGGAGGATGAGCCAGAATCGATGGAGCAGGATCTCGAGCTGGAGGTAGCACCAGAGGAGGACGGTTCAGACGAAGAGTCATCCGGGATCGATACCGAGTTGGAGTCCATGGGGTCCGAGCCGGAGTCGTCCGAGAGTTCTTCTGACTCGTCGAGTTCTGACCTTGACTGGGAGCTCTAGAGTAGACCTTAGACCCTAATTAGATCGGGCTAGTACCTTTTTGACCGGAGCCCCACCTAGAACTAGTACCCCTGACCGCTCGGGCTACTTACCCCTTTTTGTCAGTAGTGACCATTGATCCGCTTTTGATTTTTGAGCGTATGCTGTATATGAATATTGTATATGTTCTCCCTATCAATGCAAGTGTATATTTGTTCATGTTGGTTGTTGGGTGGCTATCCTTGGTTATGTGGTTTTAGATTGTTCAGGTGTTGTATTGCTTCCGCATGTGCCTGGTACTCTGTTTGGGCGTTGGGTCGGCGACGCGTCCTGGGACGTCGCACTCGCATCAACCGCGGCAGGGATGTGGTGTGCCGTAGGGTGCGGGGCGTGACAATAAGCTTAACTCTAAGCTCTAAGAAATTATGCTTTCTCTAAAGTCCTAAATTTATTCACTTGTGTTAATTTAGTCCCAAACCTTTTACTTGTGCCAATTGTCCTAAACCTTTTCATATTTTGCCAATTGAGTTCATCTGGCCAATTTAACTAGAAATTGCTGACATGGATGCCGACCGTCCTACATGGTACAGCCAGCTGACATGAACAATTTTAATATTATTTTTTCGAATATTTATTTAATTTTTTCCTTTTCCTTCCTTTTTTTTCCTCACATGGGCCATGCAGCACGGCCAGTCGTTGGCCACGAGGGCTAGCCTGGCTTGGGCAAGGCCAAGCGCCAACAAGGGCCCCCTAGCCAGATTTGCCGAGGCCGACCCTTGCCCAGGCCAAGGCGGCCTCACTGGACATCGCTTGGGTAGGGTTGGCCTCGTCGGGCCTTGCCTAGGGAAGGGCAAGGCCGAGCAAGGCCTGGCGAGCCTTTCCTTGGCCAAGTTGAGGGCCACCCTTGCCGGCGATGGTCATCAATTGTCATCACCCTAGGACTTGAGGCCAACGATGGTCGCTACCTTATATCGTAGTTGAGCGACATGTTTAGGAACAAATCGAGCCTTGTCTTCCATGGCCGCTACCATGGGAGATCTGCGAGCCTTGTGATAGAGCTCCCATGATTGTTGTGAACTGTATCACAAAACTTGCCGAGCTCGCCTTGTAGCTCGTCTGTGAAACAGGTCATAAATATATTTTCTCTATGAAAAAATTAAAAATAAAAAACCATTGATACCGAATAGAAACGCCGACCTTTATTGTCGTGACAATCTCAGCATGAACTTTCAAATGTCCCTAATAAAAACACAAACTTTCATCTACGTGACAAATATAGCATCCGCTAGACTCCGTCCAAAAACTATCTTTTAATTACCCTTTAGAATTTCAACAATATTCACAGAATTGCTATTAAGGCTATATTTTGTTGAAGGGCTTAGTTTTTTATTCTTTCTTCTTATAGAAAATAAACAAACATTTCTAACAAATGAAAATGGTTGATAAAAAGGTGGATATATCTTCACCTTTGTTTTGTATATATGTTAGTGGATTACAAAGTGAAGTAATTAAGCTCTTGACAAAATTATTTTTCCAAGGAAGTGATTATCCGGAAACAAGAGAAGCGAGAGATGCTCTTGGGAGAGAGGTGGCCTCATTGGCCGATGAAAGGGTTGACGTTATTAAAGAAGAGAATCGTTAGAAAAAAAAATTAAGGGAAAAGCTTCAAATCAAGTCCCTGGAGTTCAAAAGATTGTAGCAAGAAAAGTAGTACCACTGATATTATATCTTGTAAAAAGGGGCAGACAATCTTAATGGATGATACTGGTAAATTAGCCCAAGATCCTAGGCAATCTTTACGGTTAATTGACGGAGCCCCAATGCATAGATAATAGAACATTTAATGAGCTTCTATCAGCGAAAAGAACTCTCTATATAAAGCCCTGTTTGGCAGACGAGCTACAGGGCTCCAAACAACTTTTTGCCATTTTCCCCCTTTCCTTTTAATTTTTTTCTCAAAATTTTCTGCAATTTTCTTCTGTTTCACCTTTTTTTTTTGGAGACAAATACACTACAAGTCCTAAAACTTATCACAAAAATGCATTTTCGTCCTAAAACTTACAAAAGGTGCAATTGAGTCCTAAAACTTGAATTTACGATTCTCTCGGGTAAAATCCACATAAGTCTCACAGAATCAAGGTTTGTGATTGATCCCGTATAGCTGACTTCATTTTAGGGAACAAATATCGCAACCCTAGAGTAGCTGAGCAAGGCGAGTCACTTTATTTTTCAACTCCAACAGGCCTCAATCACTCGGTAATAGACCTGTTAAACGGGTGGGTCGGGTCGGGTTTGGGTCGGGTCATAAATGGTCCGACCCAAATTGACCCATTAACCCGTTTATGACCCATTTATTCATAGTGTAAATATCTCGACCCATACCCGACCCAACCCATACCCGACCCATACCCAGCCCGACCCATATTGCTAAAACACTTTTATATTTAACCTAATCTAGGAATACTTGTTTCTTATGATTTTTTTTTTAAAATTATATTGCTAAAACATTTTATGCAATACAAAGTTAGTGAAAAAATTTTATAATTTTTTTAAAATTGAGGTTCTGTTTGTTTTACGAAAAATGCGACATTTCTAAAAAATATTTTCCATAAAGTCATTATCCAAGAAAATAAAAAAAATAATATTTTTTTATTTTTTAAATCGAATTTTTAATTATTTTTTTTTTATTTTTTTCTTTTTCCTTTATTTTTGGCCGATCGCCGGCCGCCGTGGCCGGCGACCGACCACAGGCGAGGCCTCGGCCTCGCCGGCCTCAGGCGAGCTCGAGTCTCGCCAGATCGGCGAGGCTGGAGCCTCGCCACAGGTCGGCGAGGCTCCAGCCTCGCCGGGATCGGGCGAGCCTCGAGGTCGCCGGGATCGGGCGAGCCTCGAGGTCGCCGGAATCGGGCGAGCTTGCGGCTCGCCAGATCGGCGAGGCTCGAGCCTCGCCCGAGGCCGGCGAGCTCGAGCTTCGTTGGCCTCCGGCGAGGTCGTCCCACCCCGATGGCCGGTCGCCGTGGCCGACCAGTGGCCGGAATAAAAAAAAAAGAAAAAGAAAGAAGAGAAAAGAAAAAAGAAAAAGCAAAAGAAAAAGAGAAAAAAAAATTAAATTTCGATTTTTTTAAACATTTTTGTAAAGAAGGAGAAAGTGTGTGGATGAGTCTAGTAGGTGGGATGGATATGGGTTCCAAACTCAACCCATTTAGACCCATTTATCTTTAAGTTTTAAAATTTAAAACCCATTTAAGGTTGACTCTTTAAAATTAAAGTGACACATATATGACCCATTTATTTTTAAATGGGTCATATATGAGTTTAAGACCCATTTTGACACCTCTACTCAGTAATGACAAAGTGCTGATTGTATCCATGGTGCCTTTCGAGTAAAGAACTGGGAAAGGTTTCTTGTTTTATGACAAAACTAATTGGTTACTCGTCAAGATCCACTTGTAACCCAGTAAATTACTTTTATAGACGTTGTTACCATTTATCATGATCCAGTTTTCCCCAAGTTTTGTAATATCACCAAAAACTCATAAATTGGTACACTCGTACCACATTTACTTTTGTGATATAAAAATTAGGTTAGGGTAAATATTACGGATATACTAGTTTGAGATTTTTGATGGCATTGGCCCAAAAAATTTAATTTTTAGTTTATATTTTGAAATAGCTGTCTAGGGCCGCACAGATTAATGGCATGTTTGTTAACCATCTTTTTTTTTAATTATTTTTCTATACTTTTGTTCCCTAGAACAGAAAAAATACAAAAATCCGTTTGATAACATCAGTTAATTTTTCTATTCCCCTGAATAGAAAAGGAGCTAGGGAATAGATTTGGAACAGAAATAAGAAGTAAAAAAATTTTTAGAGTTATACCAAACGCTTTTATGTTATTTTTTTATTTCGAGATTAGAAATTTTGTACAGTTATCGAACGCGTTCTTTTGTTCAGAAACTCATTCAGAATATAGAAATAGAAAATACTAATTTTGTAAATAAATTATTTTCGAGAACAAAAATGTTACTGAGCGCACACCCTAAATGACCATGTGAGCATTTCCAGATCAGTTCGAACAAAAAAAAACATTTAATTCGAAGACTGAATTGGTAAGGAAAAGTCTAAGCACGCGGTCGTACATATTGCAAAAGTCAAAGGTCATTGGTGTTTTCGTTTTCGTTTTTAATTTTCTTTTTATATTTTTACAACCGTCTTGCAATAATGGTCGGCCGGTTAAAGAGGCCCCTGTCCGCCTACTCCCGCACTTTGAAACTGGGAGGTGGATCTTTGAAATAAGAGTGAGGAAGAGAGACGAAACTGAGAGAAGGCGGCCCCCCAACACGAAAACCGATTTCATTTTGAGAGTAAGAAGGAGGCGGTGGACATGGAGAATTCTCACAACCGTGGAGGAGGATCCACCGAAACAAGAGAAACGAGTTTCGATGTGTGTTTGAGCTTCAGAGGATCAGATACTCGCCGCGGCTCTGTGGATCATCTCTACCGTAGCCTCCACCAAGCGGGGATCCGCGTGTTCACGGATGAAGAGAGTCTCACCCCGGGAGAGAGTTTTGAGCAGTCGCTTACCGCGATCAGGCATTTCACGATCGCCATTCCGATCCTGTCAGAGAACTATGCGTCGAGCACAAGGTGCCTCCGAGAGCTGGCTGTGATTGTGGATTGCCACAGGACGATGGGCCTGCTCATCATGCCCGTCTTCCTCGACGTCACGCCATCAGTCGTGAGGGACAGATCCCACGTTTATGCCGGGGCTTTCGCCGCGCATAGATGGAGAAGAGAAAACACAAACACCCTCCGGGAATGGGAGGAAGCTCTCATCCGTGTGGGATCCATCCCAGGGCTGGAGAGTGATGGGTAAGTGTAATTGAGTAAGTTCGATTGAGTAACCTAGCATCCAAATGCCAAGTAGCGCTTAGTTCAATTTAGTTAATCTAATTAGACTAACGCTAGGTGTATCAATACCTGATGTAGCTCGCTCTGATCTGGTTCTCAATATGATCCACTTGTTTACATTCTTGCTCCCAGCTCGCCACATTACTTAATGTTTTGGTTTTGTTGATAAATTTCAGTATTCCTATGTTACACACATCTTTGCAAGCACATGACTCAGTTTTTCGGTTAACTTAGAGGCAGCAATTATGGTTGTGATTTTATATTAAGATGGGTCCAGGAAAATGTTCTTCCTCTTGGAATCTGCATCTACAGGAAATCTACCTCTTGCGAGAAAATGCCAGTGTAGAGCGATACCGATTTGCTTAATTTCTGTCGATGCAACTGACAACCTTTGCATCTCATCCTACCGTGCTTTGTCTCTGCTGATTCAGTACAAATATGTGCCACTAATTGCGTGGCCTGTTTGTCTAAAGCTGATTGCTGTTTGATAGTTTTTGAAAGGAGAGCGTGAATTTTTTTCTTGCAAACTACTTCAGAGTTCAGACATTGTTGGACTTACGTTAATCTTTGTGCATGTGCCTCGTGCACACGTGCACGCATGATATAGCCCACGCACACATGCTTCAATCATCGAAGTACTTGTCGCAAATGTGTTGAGGGTATTGAACAGATACTTCGTTGGCATCGAGCATCATGTGGAAAGAGTTATGAAATTACTAAATATGGAATCTAGCGAAGTTCGTGGAGTTGGAATACATGGCATAGGGGGCACCGGGAAGACAACAATTGGAAAGTTAATTTACAAAAGAATATTTCGTCTCTTTGATGGCTGTAGCTTTCTGGAAAGCGTTACAGAAAATGCCAAAAAACCCGGAGGCTTAGTAAATTTGCGACGTCAGTTGATTTCTGACCTTCTAGGTAAAATGCATGGACAAATTGATTCTGTTGATGATGGGATTAGATCCATCAGAAGCAGATTCTTTCACAAGAAAGTTCTCATTGTTCTCGATGATATTGAACCAAGCTTTGGACTTACATCAATTTTAGGAAATCTTGATTGGTTAGGCTCTGGAAGCAGGATCGTAATTACCACCAGAGATGAACGAGCTTCAAATGAGTTTAAAGTGTTCCTGAAATATAAGGTCGGGGGAATGGAACGAGATGAAGCCCTTAAACTTTTCCACGTCCATGCCTTCAGGGAGAAACCTGCTCCAGATGACTTTGCTACTCTGTCCGAAAATATAGTATCAACTATTGACCGGCTTCCTTTGACTATTGAGGTTGTCGGGTCGTATCTATTTTCTAAAAGCAAGGACGTGTGGAAGAAAACCTTGGACGAGTTGGAAAAAGTACCTGAGCTACATGTTAAACAGAATTTGATGGTAATCATCAAAGCATTACCTGACAAGCAAAGAAAGATATTTCTGGACATTGCTTGTTTCTTCATCGGAGAGGACGAAAGTGTTGCATGCTACCTGTGGTCCGACTGTGATGCCACAAGCCAATTGGAATTAAAAGTGCTCGTCCTCTCATCTATTGTTAAGATTGAGAACAACAAACTGTGGATGCATGATCAACTTCGAGACCTAGGTAGGGATATCGTCAAATTGGAACATCGTGAACTTGGAAAGCGCAGTAGATTGTGGATGCACGAGGATGCCTTGGATGTGCTGACAAATGAAAAAGTAAGATACAAGTTCATCACTGTTTTTTACCTATTGATTGTATGCCTTACAACTTGTTTTCCTTTTTTCATAGAGGAAAGACACTTATGGTCAACCCACCCATCGGTGGCCGCGTTGGTTTGTGCTCAGTTCCTTTCACGAGAGGTCCTGGGTTCAAACTCGCCCATCGGTGATTTAAGTGAGGGGTCGTGGCGGTGGGATGCTGCGCTAGCCCCCCTCGAGGACTAGTCGGGCATCACCGCCGGTTTGAGCCCTAGCTCGCCGGCCGCGCGGACACCTCGATTGTCAAAAAAAAAAAAAGACACTTATGGTCCGTTTGTTTCGCGGAAAATGACTGATTTAAAACATTTTCTCAAAAATGATCACTTTTATATCTTGGAATAATTAGTTGATTAAAATTTTTCTTTATTGATAACAATTGATGTTTACATATTTTTATGGACGATGAAAATATTTTTTGTTCATTTATTTTTGTAAGAGATACGAGCGATCATATTTAGGAAGTTATTTTCCAAATCATTCACTTTCCACGAAACAAAAGACCCGTAATAAAAATGACTTCTTTAGTTTGAAGTCTCTAAGCATTTATCATCTTCACATATTTTTCCGGGGAAATGCTAAGTCCCTTGGCAATCCTATATTTCACGTGTAGGGAACGAAACGCGTTGAAGGTGTTCTTCTCAAATTTGACAGTGGGTCAGAATGGAGTTTTGGACCAGCACATTTTGAGAATATGTCGAACATAAGATTCCTTCGATTGGATCAGGCGAACCTCGAAGGAAATTTTAAGGGGCTTCTGTCAAGTTTAAGATGGCTCCATTGGCAAGGTTGTCCTCGGAATCTTGGTGCTCAAAATTTGGATTTGGAAAAGTTGGTTATTCTAGATCTTTCCTGGAGCAAGGTCCATGAAAAATGGAATGGTTGGAGTGAAATCGAGGTAGAGAAGTATATTATTTTTAATTTCATTTTTCAAATTGTTGCGGAAAAATTAACTCTTTTGTTATTCTACCCTTTGACAGAAAGCCGGGAATTTGAAAGTTTTGAACCTCACCGGTTGTGTTGACTTGATCAGAACTCCAGACTTATCTCATTACAAACGTCTAGAGAGATTGATTCTTGAAAAGTGCAATCGATTGGTTGAAATCGGTTCAGTAAAAAGTCTGGAGAGCTTGGTTTCACTGAACTTGAGGTTTTGCACTGAACTCAATAAGTTGCCTGAAGAGCTGGGTTTCCTCATGTCCTTGGAAGAGATTCTTATAGATGGAACTGCTGTTCAAGAAATTCCTGCCTCCGTCGGTCATTTGAAAAATCTTACAAGATTCAGTGCCCGCAACTGTCTTTCATCGATCCAGCTGCCCGATTCAATTAGCCGTTTAATTGAAGCGGAAAGCTCATCCGAGGTAACCAACACTACTGATTTTCCTACTGGACCGCATAGATGGAGGATGGCACTTGATAAGCACGTGTCATGTCTCCCATTAACGCATTCAGAATATTTTTTTCTTTTGGTCTGTTATAATTTTTCCTCTTTCAAAAGGGCCTTCTTTTTTTTTTTTTAAACTGTTTTCAGTATTTTTCTGCGATATACAAGCAAAGAACTTTTATTTGTGCCAGTTAGTTTAATCATGCTTTCCAGAGGTGTTGTTACATATTCAATCCAGAGCGTTGAACGTTGTATTGGTATCTTAAATCTATGATGTGGTGCGAAAAAGTGCTGACCGCCGTACCGATATCTTAAATTTCTGATGTGGTGCTTCCTTCATGTTCAAGTTAATTCTTAATCCAAAGTGCTGTGAATAAATTGGGATGAGTGGCTCATAGAAGGTATTCCATTCTCCAAACTGTTCTCTTGTAATTCAGACTCGTTTGACAAGCTACTCATACAAGGCCATACTCTGATCAATACTGTAAATGAAATCTCAAAACTCGTTTGGTCTCTTTTCACGTTCAGTCAGTTTGAATCTAAGCATCAACCTCTATAACCGTTTGACACATGGTAGAAATCTTATTTGATGCACTGAATACATGCTTACACAAGTTTTGTCACAGGTGGAGGTTAGCAAACCAGATAATACCGAACATTCTTCCTCTAAGGGTGTCGACCGCAAATACGAAGGTATGCTCTCTACATTGAGATTGTCAAATCTGAGTTGTTCTATAAGATAAAGTATGAGTTCAACCTTGAAATGTAGAACACTGAAAGGGGTCATGGCTAGAAAGCTGCCAGACCATAAGGATAGGTGGTTAAGGGATTATTTCAAGCTATGCTGTATTGTTGGAACTGGTTAGATTTTTTACCAACTTTTTTGGGCCATATAGAAAATCTTACACATTAGCTATTGCTCCTCTTGCTATAGTAAGCACATACGATCCTTAAGAATATAGTCTACAAGCACTGAAAAACGTCATCAGCCTCATTTATTCTTGTTTCGCAAAAAATGGTCGCCGAAGAAAGACCTTTCACCAAAGGTTGAATCTTTGGTTCTTAAAGTAAATTGGATTCTGTGGCGATTCGGACAAGAAACAATGAATATGAGACAAACTATGAATGCTAAATAAAAGATAAAGAACAAAGAATTGCAAGTACGAATATATAATCGATGAATTAAAACTGCAGAAAAATTTGATAAGTGTTGTTGATCGCGGATGCTTTACATTGATTCTGCTCCGCCTTATATAGCCTTGTACAAAGTGTAACCATCGAAAGCGGTTATCTTCTAAGTCAAGAACTTCAATTGCCTCTGACATTCTTGGCTCCGCTCTCGCGATCTTTAACTGCATATTCTTGTCCACAAGCAGTTGTGATCTTTTGGCTTCCTCTCGATTTGACTTCCTTCAAACGTGGTTTACCGGTCGTTGTTGTACGTCGACAACTGCCTCAATCTCCCTTTCATCAATGGCATCATTAATTGTCCGATGCCAATCTTGCAATGGGTGCTCACCGATTTGACCACATAACTTAATTCTTTGTTGATGATAGGTTGTTTTTGGATGTCAACGTATGTCCTCTTCTAAACGAATTAAAAGTTCTTCTAATTCTTTGAAATTTATAGGAATGTTATAAGTCAACCCTTTCACGATCCCGGCAGAACGCCGGTATAGCTGCTCCATTATCCAGACAATCGCTTTACCTTCTCCAGTCTAATTTGGACACGTAGAGAGATTGGCGGGATTTGCCTTCCACCACTATCACCTGCCAGCCTTATAGAGCCACTACTCGGGATCTGCTCCTTCCTTCTTAAGATTGTATTTTTACCTCTCTTCTTCACCACAATCCTCTGGAGAACATTTACCTATTCCTGGACTTGGATCTCCTTCTGCTCGTTGAACTTGCAATTCGCCCAAGAATCAATCTCCAACGTATTCACCTTCCGCGTTTCTATCTGGCTTTGATAAACTCCGGGAAGATGAGGATAACGGCAATTATCCTTGCTTAATGCTGACTAATTATGGATGATATTTTTAATCGGCATGTTATCAAAGAGTTTCGACCCCATCCCGGAGTTACCAGCGAATTCACCAACCAGTGGGTTTTTTACCAAGCGGACATGTTCATGGAGGACTTCAGCTCCGTCATCAAAAGAGTGAAAGTTAACAACCTTTTACTCCCTGCCTTCGTGGAATTGAGTTATTACAAGACCACTTGCTTCCGTGTGGTTCGTCCTCGAACCACACACCTACTAGAGGGGGTCTCGCTTTGTTATTGCCCCTTAATTAGCTCACTTGAGGTATTAGCTTCCGTGTGGTTTGTCATTTGAGGAATTGCTTGTTTTAGCACGTTCCATACCAAGTCTCACGGTTTTGTCTTTCGATGTACACGTAGGCACTTTCTCAAGAGATTATAAAAGAAAATCAATTATAGAGTTTTTGACAGATAAGTGGAATATGTCTTTTCAGAAAATGAAGGCAGGATTGTCAATATCAGGAGCAACGATGACGAATTGATGAAGCTCAATAGCCTTCCTGATGGTGGCATTGGATGGCGTAAAATTGGTAAAATCTTCGTATCAAGGAATGAAATCGCTAAGGGAAGTAATGGGACCATTGTCTTCGAGGGCATGTATGAAGATCGACATGTTGCAGTGAAACGCCTTGTCCGGGCTCATCGTGAGTTTGCCTCCAACGAGATTCGGATTTTGATAGCATCTGACCGACATGAAAATATTGTTCGGTATTATGGAGTGGAGTACGACGAGGATTTCGTGTATCTTGCACTGGAGCACTGTACTTGTAGCTTAGATGATTTAATGCAAGCACATTCAGATTCTTTAAATAACCATGGTCCAGCATCATTGGATAATTATAAAATCAAATTGGATTCCGTTAGGGGTATGATGCAGGATGTTAACTTGTGGAGGGCAGATGGTTATCCCTCGCCTCAGTTGCTGAAACTAATGAGGTAATTTTTACGTTTTGACGTGCCAAAAGGGTATGATTTGAGAGATCATTGCAGTATCTTGCTTATTGCCACACTCCTAAAATCAATTGTCACATATTTGTAGTTGTAGCAAGCTTGTTTACATATATTTTACATGACTCAGAAGCATCTCATAGAGATCACTACCTTCATGTACTCCTCTTTGCTGGCCCAAGTGGGTATCAGGTGCTAGTCGAAGGACTTAATAGCTCTCCTGCAAAAACTTCAAAGTGATGTATGTTACAGGGAATTATTAGGCCACTACCTTGACTATGGTGAGCCTAATGCAATCAACATCATGGGCTGAGTTTTGAACCTTGCAACTTCGTTTCTAGAGTTATAGGCTATGTTCAGTCTCACTATCAAGGCTAAACTCTTAGTTTTCTTCTCATGGAAATCAATTAGGTATTATCGATTACATAGTGATAAATCCATTGATTTTTCCATTTTGGTAAAATCAGTATACCTTCTTCTTTTTGATTCGTGAATGCTGCAGAATCCTCATGCACTCAAATTGGTAAATGTTGATGTGATTGATTCGGCAATCAAATTATGTACCGAGTTTTTCATTGTAGAGTTTACGTAAACAACCTGTAACAGTTTTTTTCTCTAGTGTACTTCTGGCATCCTTACTAGGTCTTAGTGTGTTAGAGAAATTCCTTAATTTCCAACAGGATATGGCTTAGTATATGTATCCGATGCCTTCGAGTGGCCGGGATACTATTTGGTTCCAGCTACATTGTTGATTTAATTCATGATGTCTTCTCTATATTATAATACAGGGATGTGGTATTAGGACTCGGCCAATTGCATGACTTGGGAATAATCCATCGGGACTTAAAACCTCAAAATGTCTTGATTACTAAGAATCGATTGTTTGGTGCTCAGCTATGTGATATGGGCATTAGTGAATACCTTCCTGAAGATAGATCTTCCTTGGGATATCATGCCACTGGTAAGTGCTCATGATAGCTTTCTCCAAACCTTTGATCTTCTTTTCGTCAAGATTGATCCATGCATAATCTGAATCTATACAGTGGTAATCACTTTAGATTCCCGGCTAAAAAATTCAGAACTGTAATTTTACTTGTTAGAGCAATCTCCTCTTTCAAAGAAGACTGTTATGTTGGAAGTAAGGTTGCTTTGTATTGCTTCTTATGCTGTGGTATAGTTTGTGGAGATTTAATAGTCTTTGCCATGGTCTTCCTTCGTTGATTGGTGAATCTATCATATCCGTCTATACATTGTCCTAGTGATGAGGGCTCTTCTGTTGATCTTCGATGTTTATCTTACAGGTTGTGGAACTTCAGGATGGCGAGCACGTGAATTGCTTCTTCATGGTGGGCGCCAAACACGGCAAATGGATTTGTTTAGTTTAGGTTGTGTCTTGTTCTTTTGCATCACTCGTGGACGACATCCATTTGGTGAAAATGTAGAACGTGACTACAATGTTGTTAACAACAAAATGGACCTATCCTTGGTGGAATTCATAACAGAAGCTCACGATCTATTTAAGCGTTTGCTAAACCAAGATTCCAAGTTGAGGTGAGTGTACTGTAATCCTTAATTTGAATCACTACCGTTTTCATTCTGCCATTTGATAGATTTTGTAACCATTGTTAGTTTCCATTTTACTGCATCACTTAATGTCATGAGTATTAAAGGTGGCCTGAAATTCGTTGAACATGGCTTAAATATTTGTCCTGCTCGTGGGGCTCTACTTGATAAGCAAAATATGTGTAGATCAAACTCCTTTCTTTTGGCAATTGACAATAAAAGTCGGAGAAAAGGTTGACCATGTGATAGCCTAAATGCATTTGACAATTGCGATATTCCAATGGAAGATGATCATTGTCCAGAAGCCTAGTATTAGGGCTATAAGTTTGTTACCCACCCACAAACATACAAATTCCAATCATTCCTGGCACGGTATTAAGAGAAGATTTGTTATACATACACCGAAGAGGATTTCATATGAAGATTCAGAGGGTTTAGCATATGGTGCTTACAATGAAAGAAGAATCCTAGGGACTAAATGATTAAATTGCTAATTTAAGGTAGTTAGGAGTAAATAATTCATGGGTTCTTATTGTAGTAAATAATTTGATTAAATGCTAACTATTGTAGCCTAAATGATTAAATTGCTAATCCGAGGATCTCCTGCCTTCATATGAAGGTTCTTGTTGTGAAGTGTATCAAAGTTTTCAGACATTTTGGTTTTCTCTTTTGTTGAGCTAATGCAATTTTAATTGTTTTAGAGATTGCACGAATGCCAAACTTGTGATGCTTTTAAACTTGGGAAATCGGTGTATCTCAGTGTTGTTCGTGTAATTAATTTCTTTGAGCATGTTGGATCAATAGTAAATTGCTTTTAATGACTAGCAGGCCAAAGGCATCGGAGGTGCTTCACCATCCATTTTTTTGGAATTCAGAGATGAGACTGTCCTTTCTTGGTGATGTCAGCGATAAAGTAGAATTGGAAGCTAGGGCACCCAATTCAGATCTTCTGAAAGCATTGAAGAACACTGCACAACTGGTTTTTGATGGGAATTGGGGCGACAAAATAGAGCCTGAAGTTATGGCCGACCTACGCAAACGTAGGAAATATGATGGTAGCCGTGTCAAAGACTTATTGAGAGCCGTGCGAAATAAGTGTAGCCACTACATAGAAGCTCCAAAAGAAATTAAGGTACTCTCTCGCTCTCTCTCTGGAATTGTGATGATATTTGCAGCTGCATGCATACAAGGCTCATGTTTGTTGTTGCTGTGATGATTCTGGCAGGCGATCCTCGGATCGGTTCCTGATGGTTTGGACACTTACTTCGCTAGACGATTTCCGAGACTCTTGATTGAGTCATACCGAGTGGTGTCCCGGATCTGCAAAGAGGAGGAATGCTTTCAGAAGTACTCGCTTTTCCCCCCCTGGCCAACTCCCACGGAGATTCCTTCTTCAAGCCAGCAGGATCGGCCATGAAACAGAGATTCATTGAATACTACAGAACATTCCACCTGTCTTTTTCTTTTTAAATGTTTAATGTATTGTTCTTGATATTTCGTAAACAAGTATTATATTTCAATTTCATGCAATCTTTTTCAATATCGCAATTTTTAAAAGTACCTTTCATTCCGTTGGTAGTTTAACAGCTTCTTCGCCTAGCTTGTAGTTCTTTTCAATATGCAATCTAAATATCTAAAGAAAAATATTTAGGTTGAGTAAATCTCAATGGAGTAGGTAACATTCTCAGTTATGAAAGAAATGTCACTCTACTTGCAAGTATTTACCTATGAAATAAACATCACTCTATTCTTTTAAAGTATTTATCCACACTGTTAATGATTTTTCTGTGTGATTTCTAACACATCTCGTATAGTTGATAAATTTCTCTCATTGGAGCTAGTGGCTTTGGGTATTAAAAGTATGGATCTACCTGTAATTAAAATATAAAAAAATAACATTCACGTATTTCAAAACCTCAAAAAAAAAAAATGGCAAGAAACTGCATTAACAGTTCTAAACCTCATATAAAGTGGGCGAAAAATCTTATGTATCCTCTACATACTCCAGGCTTTTTACTTATCAAATTTATGTACATTTAGTTTGTCCAATCAAGTTGTTCTAGCTTCACAAACTTTCGGATCAAGTCTATCCGACACAAAATCAGACCAAATTCGGTTGACGTGGAATCAAATGACCCCAAAGTATGATGTGAAAAAAATGTATGAATGCACACATGGGTGTGTGCGTGAAAAAATAGCCGACATAGACAGTATTGAAGTTTGACTTGTTACCCAATGTTGACGCTCATGTGGACGATATCACTCGACAGTCATGTTAGCTGGATTTGGCAGAATTTGATGTCGAAGGAACTTGATTAAAAAATTTGTGAAAAAGTAGAAGGAGCTCATTAGACAAATTAAAAGTATAAGGAATTGATTAGAAAATAAAGCAAAACTGAAAGTATAGGGATGGCAAGTAGAACTTTTTGTAAAATAATATTCATCAGTGTGGTGATCTTTTTCTACGGACACTTATATGCTACTATTTTTCACCTCCGACATACAATGATCGCTTTCGTGCCAAAAGTTGCGTACGATGCTCACTTTAGTGCCAAAAGTTTTTTTTTTAGATCACTTAAATGACACTTTTTTTAATAAAACGATCACTTAAGTGCTAACTCCGATCTGAATCGACGGAAATCCGACGTGGCCATATTTTATTAGTTTCTCAGTCCTACGTGGCTCGTCGGCATGCCCAATCAGTATATAACTCCTAAACGACGTTGTTGTTTAAAGTGATTACTTCAGTGCCAATCGTTGTTGAAAAAGGATCACTTCAGTGTTAGTCGGATTGTGCGATGTCGTTTTGGAAGTCTACGTGGACTGAATTTTTTAAAAATATGCCAAGTCATATTACAAATTTTAATTATAAATGCTACGTAATCAATTTAACCGGAATTGGCACTTAAGCGATCATTTTTTCTCCAATTTGGCACTTAAGCGATCATTTTTCTCCGATTTGACACATAAGTGATCCAAAAAAAAACTTGTGGCACTAAAGTGAGTGTCGTACACAACTTTTAGCACTTCTAGCGTTCTTCTCCTGGCTTTATACTTTCTTTTCTTTTATTGGTATTTGGCTTTATAATTTTACTTCACGGTAAGAGTGGAGATTTCGATATGTTGGAATCTATGGGGCCATAGGACCTCTCCGCCGTAATTTTCCAGCAATGTAATAACATTTTTGTATTTGTCTTTTTCATGTCTTGTGAACAATTACTTATTCTGGCTTGTTAGAAATTATAGTATTTGTCCGGCAATCTGGAAATGTTAATTCTTTATCTTACCTGAACAAGTTCAGCTTTTTGTTTCATCTTTATAAGCAGGATCCACCTCATACATAGCTAATGCTATTGTATTGACAGAAGGTCACATTCTTCTTTCTTTTCCCTCCAACGTGTACGGCGACGTTGTGTGGATTCAAATTATACAAAAGCACAGACATCAGATGAAAATTTCACTTTCACAAATTCGATTCTGTCCCAACAAATTGTAAAAAGTGAAAGATCAACCTCAACCCGCAACAGAAAGGAGGACTTATTCCATCACATAGTGGTAGTCACATTTCAACGGGGAGGCAAGCTCTAGTCCATGCAAAATATCATCTGGTGTTCAAAAAGAATTTTTATTTCGTTCATTGCAAGTAGAGAAATCACTTTCACATATTGTGTTTGCATATTATCATGCGTGTGCATCCATTAAAAGTCTGTTTTTTTTCGTCATAAATAGAATTTCCTTAGACTACAGTTACACACACAATAGTACGCTAGCTCTGCTCCACCAGCGTTGCATATAAGCTCTTCAAGAAAGTCAGGCCCATGAAATAATATATGAATATCATGGACCAGGTATAGTGCGAACCAACACCCGAGTGAGTTCCCGGAAAACAAGAAAATCAATCATGAAAATAGTTAGAGAAGAATGAAGGTCACTTAATAACAAGAAAAATTTTCATGATCAGACACTCGATAACAAGATTTAAAATTGCTATACCATGGATTATGCTCTTCTTGTGATTGAGGTGAGTCCATTTTGGCATGTAATATTAGCTGTCATCACCAAGCAGGACCAGTTTAAAAAGCAGAAACAAGAGCTGCAATAACCATCCTGATCCGTAGCTTCTGAAGCTCATGATTGAAGATTACTTGAGAACTCTAGATGAGCAAATCGAGTCCCAGTGAGCTACTTCCACGTTGAACAGACTCCGTCTTATCACATTCCAAGTCACTCTGGTATATAATTCGGAGGCGTTTCAATGGGAGCTTTCAGCACCAACCTGTATCTGGTGTTTGGTTAAGTGCGAGTTTTTATTGCAGTTGTTGCATCTGCTTGTGCTTAAGTGACATTGTTCGCAACATTGCAGTTCCCCCTGCTTGTGAAGATGATTACGGCAGTAGC